ATAATCTGCTAAGAGGATCTGCTACTACATTATCCTTACCAGGATGATAATGCACACTCATATCATAATCCTTAAGAAACTCAAGTCATCTCCTCTGACGAAGATTCAACTCTTTCTGGGTGAACACATATTGAAGGATCTTATGGTCAGTGAACACATCTACATGAACACCATACAAGTAGTGTCTCCAGATCTTGAGTGCAAACACCACTGCTGCAAGCTCGAGGTCATGAGTTGGATAGTTCTTCTTATGGATCTTAAGTTGTCTAGAAGCATAAGATATAACCTTATCTCGTTGCATTGACACACAACCTAGGCCAACTCTGGATGCATCACAACAAATCACATAACCATCTGAAGCCTTCTAGTTTTCAACTCTGCAAAGCTTTTCTCATAATCATCTGACTATTGAAACTTGACCATGGTGAGGCTATGGATGAAAAATCCTTCTATGAACCTTCTGTAATAACCAGCTAGACCTAAGAAACTTATGATATCTGTAGCAGAGGTAGGTCTGGGCAATTGTTTCACTGCTATCTTTTGTGAATCCACTCGGATCCCCTTTCTAGATATAATGTGACCAAGGAAAGCAACGAATTGCAACCAGAACTCACATTTACTAAACTTAACGAATAACTGGAGATCTTTGATAGTGTACATAACAACTCCAAATGACTCGCATGTTCCTCCTCATTCCTAGAGTAAATGAGGATATCATCAATAAAGACAATGACAAACAAGTCTAATTACTGTTTGAACACCCTGTTCATCAAATCCATGAAAGCTGTAGGAGCATTAGTTAGTCCAAACGACATAACTACAAATTCATAATGACCATACCAAGTTCTGAAGGTTGTTTTTAGAATTTCACTATCTCTGACATAATGAGTTGTTACATTTAATTGGATGCTAGTTATGTAATGTGGATTTTGTTCCTTGACCTTTGCCTTTTACTTGTGAAAGTATTGTTTTATTGGCTGACAAAGCTTAGGCTAGTTAGTATTTTTACAGTTGTTTTTTTATTTGGTCATAAACGATCTGGTAAATGTAATAACTATGAGATTGTGTGACCTTTCTCTACTCTCCTATCATGTTTGGATGTTGTGGTTGTTGTTAAATACTTTTTACTTACTCTAGTTGTTGGTATTTGGTTTTGGTACATGTTCAAAATCTTCCTTCCCATACTTTGTTGTTGGTTAAAACTAAGACTTGTTTCATGTCTTCTTGATTCATTGTCGTGTTTGTGATTAAATCAGCTAGTTGATTGGTTTCTATGAATATATGATAAAATTGTACATCTATTTGACTAGCCATTTTCTTCACTTCCTCAATTGTCTCTGCCATCTCGCAAGTTATTTTCTGGTGCCCTTTTATCATCTTCTTTAAACATAGAGAATTTGTCTCCAATCTAATATCTTGGAAAACTTGGTAAATATAAAATCTTAAAGCTCTCCAAATAGTAACACAAAAACCATATGAACTATGTCGCATATTCCCTTTGCTAGCTCCACCAGTATTGCATGTTAAGACATGTCCAGGATTTGAAGACTTTGGGTGCACCTGCGATGCTCTGAGCCCATATCTTGGACGTGACCGTTACTCGAGAACCATTGTTGGCCGCCAAGCAAACCATTGGCCTAATTGACTACTTAGCGGAAGACTAACTCAAGTAGATATAGGCTTTAAAACAAAAATAAATCATTTAGTCTAAGTACATAATTTAACTATCTGGAAATACTGAATGACAACAATAATAGTTTATCAGAATATCTTAAAAGAAATTTCGAAGACTCTCAATATTATCTATCTATGAAGCATTTACTGTTTCAAGACATGTATCTCTACAAGACCCACAACAACCTTAAACAAACTAAGACTGAACTATATAAGTGGAGTCCTCCGGAATCAAGGAGGTCTCACCAAAAAACTATCAAGGGTGTGAAGTAATCTTAAAAAAAGGCTTATTGATGATCCAAAACACATGTATATACATCATAAAAGATGACGATCGAATGACATTAGTACATTGAAAGTACGAATATGTAATATGGTTGAAGCAACAATAACTAAAACTTAAAAGGCTGCAACAAAATACTCAACTAAATGTAAAGTATAAATAGAAGTTAAGATCATTTAAAGCTTCACAAAGTAAAATATGCTAACTCACAGAAAATTCTCTCTCATGATGATACATCATCACTATGAGTCTCGTGATGATATATCATCTCATCCACTCATCTAGAAATATCATATACTTTGCCAGGGTATAGAACAAACTCAACTTTACAAATTAACTTCACAAATTGAATTCTTAGCTACCATTCCCCAGTAGCAGCACCATTTTTTATAGCGCTAAAATTACCTCAAAACAATTAGAATAGTAAGCGATCGTCAGTCATAAAAATACAGAATGAAAAGTCGGTGATGAATTCCACGAGGAATGATATAAGGATTAGAATTCAACAAGGAAATTAAGTATGTCATCGTAGCACTTTAGAACAATTGGGTAGATAATTTTACCAAATTTACAAAATAGAGAATTGCAATAAAGTATGACAATTAAACTAAAAACATAGGGATTTCACAAGTGAGAGACCATCTAGAGTTGTGGAGATTGGTGTTGATGTTACAAGGGGCATACATGTCCTTCTCAATAGCTAAATAAATATGGATAGGCTAGGAAATCTTCAATGAAACTAATCTTTTTTCGATCTCATAGTACCATATCATATAATTCCCTTTTAGTATCATCTAGGTGAATCACAAATCAACTCATTACCTTATGAAAATCGATCATTAGAGTAGATTTGGCAACTAGAAATGAACTATAATTTCTCTTTTGATCAAACCATAAAAGTCACACCTAAATTGCATACATTAAGTTATTTACTCACTTCAGTTGATCTTCGAACATCAATTGAAGATCTCGAATAGGAATACTTTGCAACCTTAACCCATGAATTTAATCTCATACTAAATAACCTACGCATAGATGAACAATAATAAAACACAACATAGAACAAGACCCACTACATTAAATCAACACCCAACCCTATAATCACACCCCTAGAGTTGGAATTTTAGTCACACATCATAAAGAACAAAGAAATTATACTTATGATGTTACTAGCCATTAATGTGTTGAAATTAAGCAATAATATTTAACAACCACTTCAATTTCAACCCTCAATTGTTAATTACAAGAGTGTTTGGAAAACACAAAAACTAAGAAAAAAAAATCTTTCTTCTCAATATCAAAATTAAATATGAAATTAGCAAAAAGTTTATCTCAACATTCCACGGGCCTCTCCCAAAACTTCCTTTATTTTCTCTCTCCTTTCGGTTATTTATAGTTTCCCCAAGATTACATATGTGACTCATTTGGTGATGCTAGTAGGGCTCACTTAACTCATTTGGCAGATTGTGTTTTGCTCTTTAGCTCACTCTTCTTTTATTTCAAGCTTCATATCTTTGAAACTCAATTGGTGAACTTGATCAAGTCAACTTTTCACATTCAATGGATCACCGATTCCCCCTTGTATACTCTTTCAACTTTTATTTTTGCTCAAAATTATGTCACCTTTTGTGATTGACTTCTATTTCGCCCATTCAACTTCGGCGAATTGCCTTTTCATGTTTAGTCTGCCAACCTGCCTTGAATATTTAAAATTGTGCACACAGTCAACTTGGGTGAGGTCAGACCAATCAGGCGATCCACCATTTTTATTAGCCGACTACCAGTTGGAAATTTGTACTCCTTACAATGTTTTTGGCCCTATTTCCATGTATTCATCATTGCCTTGTCCTTTATCCTTCATACCTTAAAAACCTCAAAATATCATCAAGATAGGACATAAACAGGCAACGAGGACACTAATTGTTGAACTAAAAAGACCTCAAATGAGTGAAAATCTACCACTCATCATAGAGTTCAAGTGGAAATATAAACATGGAAAACAACTCGAAGATCTCGATGCATAATATATTGCAACTCAAAATTAAGAATTTAGAACTTGAAATTGATAACATAATTCATATCAAGAATTCTCAAAACTAAGGGTATTACCCTAGATTAGACTCTTATTGACTGAATTTAGATGTAGGGCATGAGGACGAACTCAGTCTATCAGTATGAATAACCTTATATACTTGGAAGACCATTTTTTTTTTAAGAAACGCAAAGAACTTGAAGAAGATGCTTGAAAACCCTACCTTTCTCATCATGGATGATTACTCTAAGTCTTGGGAGTGCTAATGAACGTAAAAGAGTTGATCAACAATGTTTAGCCCTTAATTAGAGGTAAAAATGTTGGGGTTTAAGCTTAGAAAGGGTGGGAAAACACTGGAATATCCCTACTAAATAGTGTGGGATCGACTCTATGGGTGCCACCTACAGATTATAGAAACTTCTATTGTTCGTACTAATCAACTATAGATCGAGTAATGAAGACTGAGATTTGGGTCAACTTTTACAAAGTCCTTCCTACGATCCGTAGGGCCCTCTCATAGAACCCAAAGTTCCTCAAATTTTTTCTAGGACACTCCTACGGTTCCTCTCTTTGAATCGCAAACCATTCTACAAACCATCTTGCCAGTCCGCAGGTCATCATATGAGACTTGACATTTTCCGAAATTCTTCATCTACTTAAACAACTTCATTTGTGAACAAAAACCACATAGAGTCCTCTTTTATTCTTATTTTTTTTTAATGTAAACTCCCAACTTCCAATTACGAATATACGTATTTAGAAGTAATTGTATAACTTTGGAAGAAACGATCACACAACGATTTGCAATGGAAGTTGCTTTTAGTACAGTAACTTACCATAATACAATATTTACCATAATTATTTTTGGTGTGTTAATTCTTATTGAGAATTTATTTATTTCCATATATATATATATAAATGTTAAATATTAGGGAAATAAATTAAAAAACAAACAAACCCTAGGGATAGTATTTACAAGTCAACATTTTGTGTCTTTGGCTGCTGCACAAAATTATTATTGTTAAAAGAGTAATATTTTATAAGAAAAGAATAAACAAGACAAGGTTGGACGTGGAAAGGAAAAATCAAGCAGTTGGTTAAAGCAGCGATGGTGGACAAACTGATCGTCGCCGTTGAAGGCACCGCTGTGTTGGGCCCTTACTGGAAAATCATCGTTTCCGATTACCTTGATAAAATTATCAGGTACTCATTTTCATACACTTAAATTTTCAGTTTTTGTTTTTTCTACTTGTTCCCATTTTTGTTTTAGTATTTCATCCTGAATTCAGTCATTGATTTTCGTTATTTGGATGAATTGTTGTATGTCGGCCGATTATCTTTCCCTAGTTTAGGATGGGGATTAAAACCTCAACCTTTACCCGAAGTTAATCAAAATTATGGTCAGAAGCTATTGAAATCCAACTCCTGACCTCAGCAGACCATAGATTCAAACTCGTCTACTATGAATACATTGAGTTGTTTATTTATTCAATTTTGTAAATATCTTTTACGGAAAATGCTGCATTCCGATGCTAGTAAATCATTGAGAAAATGCTGTGCTCAGGAGAATACCATTTCTCTATGTGATAATCATGTGCACATAGCATTTGAGTTTCTCTGAACTAATATGGGAAACTTTTGAAGCCTTGATACCGAAGTTTAACTTTGAAAAATGAAAATTAGAATGAATGGCTTACAAAAAGTCTAATTCCTGAAGGGAGGCGGTTAAAGAACTCGTAGTTGTTTGCAATGATTGGTATTTCCAACCTTTGCACTTTACCCACCCTTCCCTTCTATAAGATCTTTTGTTTACATGGTTCTCTCAAACCCTAAACCTAAGTTGCTCGTAATCTCCAAAAATGTTGCCGCAACCTTGTCGGATCCTCCAAAAATTTACTACTTTTGAAGTATCCGACATCCACCTCGTGACATTTTTAAGAGTCGAGGCAACAGCCTTAGTAACGTAAATCCTACTTACAATTTCTTGTTCACACAATTACTATTTCTCCATGAATTCTCTGGCAACCTTCATCATCTCGTATCTCTCTCATTTTTAATTTCTTAAGGCTCTCAATCAGTGATTCTTCTTTTCAAGTTTCAACAGCTGTGGTCTTTGTTTTTCAGAAATTTGGTTACTCTATTCTATCTCTCCACTTTGACTACTTAGCTGATTTATATTTATTGTGTTTAATTGAATTTATAGTGGCACCATAGCCTTGCTCATCTGCTTTCTTTAAAAGTGAGGTAATACTGCAGCAATAGACAATGAGGATGTTAAACAACCAAAATGTGACATCAAGAAAACAAAATATATGCATTTTACCCCCTCAAAGTCAAAGTGTTGGAGAAGATAGTCAAAGTGAAACCTTTAGGCAACACAAATCCGATGTTAATTATTTAGACCGACAAATTCCCCTCTTATTCTAGCAAAAATTAAATAGACCAAGCCCTTAGGTATACAGATAAGCATGAATAAGGGAAATATGATCATTTAATAGGAAAATGTTGTTCACCTTTTTCTCTTAACTTTTTAGTCGCGTGTTGATTAAGTCTGCGGAGCTTGGAATCAACAGTGTATTTTAATCTTCTGCATGGATGGAACTATTTTTTTGAAAGGATAAGTAAACAAGGTTAATTCTCTTTCAGAAGAGGCATTTCAGCAATAATAGTTGTTTAGAAATAGGCTTTTTAGAGTAAAACTGGATAAACGACTTCCAATTATATTACTTCCGTTCTTTGGTTGAAGGAAACTAAAAGAAGCCATGTTAATTGAATTATGCTGTTTAAGATATTATTGCTTTGCCAACTATTATGCATGCATTACAGTTATCTTTGTGGCATATTTTTCTCAATCCAATAAACTTATTGAGACCCTCAATTTCTTAGACTGTTAGTTGACTTGCTGGCTCACTACATTCCCTGCTTCGTAAGATATATAAACTCTGGAGAAGTATTAAATGCAGATTTTAAATTTAAAACTTAAGATTAACTATTGAGAAATCTTAAATCAATATCTATATTTGAAAATTTGGGCACAATTCGAATGAAGGATTTATTAAGATGTTTTTAATATACTGCCATGTTTAAATGGGAGTAGAGTCTATCCAAGACTACCAGGGAAAATCCTCCATCCATATGGTGTGGATGCAACTCATTTTGGTTATTTACTATATATAACCCTGTCCATGACAAGGTTGATTATATGCCACTCAAGGTCATGTATATGTTTCCCCTCTAGGGGCAAGCTCAGGTTGCTAACGAGAAGAATATGTTCAAGGGAAAAAATTATTGTAGTCAAGGAAAGGTACATTTGCAGGTTTCTTTTGCTAACAATTCTTGTTGACCACTGAGAGGGATAACTAGACCTGCTTTCTGACCTTCTATCGCTGGTCTACTTAATTATAGATTTCTATCGATTTTCAGTTAGGTTTCTTCATTTGAGATGCTTCTTAGTTCTTTCTTTTACTGGTATTTCTGAAAGGTGAGATCATCCAATTTTGAATTGATATCAGTTCGGTGTTCTTCTCAAATATGCTGAGCCGCACATATGCAAGCAAAAACACATGTTTTGTTGAGCAAATGACTGAGAATTCATCCTCCTTCACCTACTCAGCTCTTCCTTTTATCTTGCTTTACCATGGCTATTTATTTTTGTTTGGCTTTCTGATCGTTTAGCTGAAACAGTTGGGGAGTTTGTTTGGCTTGAATGGCTGATGCAGAAACCTCCGCCGAGTGGTTCTTCTAAATTCTGATGTTTGTTTAGTATTTGAATCAACACATGCATAAATTTTTTCATTTGCCAGTATGTTGTTATGGAGCTTGTTCATGGTTGTTCCATCCTTTCAATGAAATTAGATTGTCTTATAACTTTATATGATGATTGGACGCTTTTAACTGGCCATCCATATCATTTTTCTTTGATATCCTTATTTTCAATTTTTTTTCGTGGAAGAGTTTTTGGTTTAGATCCCTCTGATACCTCCAAATGGAACTTTAAAGCCCTAGTCGATAGCATCACTCCTGCAGCCACCAAACAAAGAAAATTAAAGTGCTTTCTGTTCCCCTAATAGTTGGTTGATATATTGTATATATGTTACCTAATTATAGCGAAGCTGTTGTTAATATATCGGTCTCCTGTTCTGTAAGTTAGTCATATTAAACCCTACAAGTAGTATTCAAGATAAAGTTTTCTGAGTAATAGCCTTTTGGTAATTTGTGCAGGTGCTTTTTTGGAGTGGACTCAACTTCACAGGTTCGCATATTCTAAATGGCTGATTTTGTAAACTGGTTATTCTTCTATATTATTTATGTGGTGGAAATGTTGTATGAGTAAATTTAATATCTCAATATTCATCATGAACAACGTAATTTATAACTCAAATAAGCATGTCCCATTACATTCCAAATTGCCGTTGAAAAAGAAAACAGTATTCCATGCTATCTAAGTTGAAGCAATTGATTGTACGTTCTTCTACTAGCTAGGCTAATTTTACCTTCCATTTTGAAATTCCAGAAATCATCTGCAGCCGATGTGGAGGTCTCCATGGTCATGTTTAATACACATGGTCCTTATAGTGGTTTGTATTTTTCTTGTTCTTAATTTCTGGTTCTGTTAGCTGATTTAATTGCAATTTCAAGCATGAGAGCTTGTTGAGTCATGCGCTTAAAACCATTTTCTATCCCAGTCTGAAATCTCTCTCAAACAGTGGAAACAAAAATTTCAGTAGTGGTATTATGGTATGTCCAGATGAAATCTGCATCATTCCATGATTTCTGGGCTGTTTTCTAGGTGAAGTGTGTGTACCATCTCCATGAAGTGGAAACTATCTAATTATGTGATTCTTACATGCCAAATCTATCTATTCAGCATAGAGTTTAAATAACTTAGTTGTGACACTTTTGATCCATGATTTATGAATTATTTTTGTATCTGACTTTCATGAGTCTAAATGCGCATAGGATTGATAGATCCTCTTGATAACGTCTTACAGTCAACTTCAATTTCTTAACTTTCAAATTGATTTATTTCAGTGATATTCTAGTGGATTTTATGATCTGTTGTAATTTCAGTGATATTACCCTCCCTATTCTCTTCCCCAAATAAGGAAAAATGAAAAATGAAAAAAGAAATTGTGGCCACAGGCCCACAGCAACATAATCTTTGAAGGGGGTTATTCAATTTTGATCTTGTGTCAAAAAAGAATTCCCGTTTTTCAAGTTCTCTCACTTATCTTTTTTTTTTTCAAGACACATATTTCTCTTTTTCTTTTTGCTTGACAATTTTATTTCCTGTTCTTCTTCTATACTACTATCTTTTATGCAGCTTGCCTGGTTCAGCGGAGTGGCTGGACAAAAGACATGGATACCTTTTTGCAGTGGCTTTCAGCTATACCTTTTTCAGGAGGTGGTTTCAATGACGCTGCAGTTGCAGAAGGACTTGCTGAAGCATTAGTGGTGTGTTTCATTGATTTTAAGTTGTTTAAAAAATGAACTTTGCATCTCTATTGTTGTCATGTGATAATATCAATAATCAAAATGACCTTTATGAATCACATGTGATATGTGTTAGACAGATAACATTTTGGTTGATAACCACCAATTCTGTAGATAGCTCACTAAGTTACACTGAAAGCCCTTTTTGAAATAATACTGTACGCCACGGTCGCCACCCTCTCTAGTTGCCTTCCTAAAGTTGTCTGCCTTCCTCGCTTCTAGAGGAAGCGAGTCCATTGGGTTTTGACTCTCTCTTGGGCCTCACGTTACTCCCCTGTCCCTTTCCCCTTAATTTCCTTCATTCAAGTGAGCTCTCAGAGCTCCATCAAACATTGCCGTGCCATGTCTTTTTCAGGCATTGTCGCTGCATTACAAAGTCCATTGGTCTAGATTATTCATAGCTTGGAGAAAATGTCATGGACCTTTGATCCAGATGGTCCTCACTGTTCAACCCAAACTTACTAATGAGCCGGTTTAAATTTTGCTTCAAAATTGGTTCACTAGTCCAGGGATATTATCATCTTTTCATATGTTTCATCTTATTTTGTTTTTCACCATTTTGAGTTCTCTTTACCCAATTCGTTATCGACTTCGACACCATTTGTTCTGGCCAAGAATTTCTTCCTTCAAAATTTCTTAACTCACACTTGACTTTCCTCATTGTCTTCCTTTCCCCCCTACACTCCTTCCTTCCCTAGTCTCCACTAGCAATATACACCCCCGATTGAAATTCCAGTGTAAATCATAACACACTCACACACACACAGAAATCACTTATTCTCTCTTTTTCTTATTCCTTTCCACAAGAAGTCTGATCAATTTTTTTATCAACTTTTTACCACTTTGATTGGCATAGGGAATACAAAAATAACATATGGAAGATTGAGGTTTAAACACTTCTAATTAGTATCAAACAATCTCCATCAATAGACATTGTCTCTTCCAACATTAACCTGTTTTCACCACCCCTTGCCAGGTTTCTCTGATTTATCTCCTTGGGCTCTTCTTCGTTGTTCATTCTACTTTGAGTCTCTCAATAGGTGGTATCTTCTATGTGCATTGACCATCTTTTAAACGAACTTGAGATTGCTATCACCATGTTTCAATTAGATTTACCTAGACTTCTGTCCATGAGATTCCTGCATATCTTGCTATTTCCTCTAGCTCCCTTGTCATACTAGCCTCTTCAATGTTCTTCCTTCTCCATTCTCTTTCCTCTATGATCTTATCAAATTCACGTGCTTTCTCTATCAGTGCTGACTTTTTGTTTTCGATTCTTCTAAGGAATAACTTTATGTATTTAAACTCTTCATCTAACTCCATGGAGAAGAGGAGCCTTTCAATTTATTAACATATATATGTAACTAGACTGATGCTTCCTTCAGATGTTTTCTGTACCAAATGGTAACCAAACTCAACAAAAAATGGAAGGGAAAAAACATTGCATACTTATTTCTGGAAGCAACCCTTATCCGTTGCCTACACCAGTTTATCGACCACAGATGCAGAAACTGGAGCAGAACGAAAATATTGAAGCACAAACAGATAGTCGACTAGCTGATGCTGAGACAGTTGCAAAGACATTCCCTCAGGTACTGATCTAAGGCCTTTTACTTTTTAAAACCCTGGCGTTCCCCTCACGTATACTGCTTCATTCTTTGCTAACAAGTTTCTCTTTCCGTTGCAGTGTTCTATTTCCCTGTCAGTTATATGCCCAAAAAAGCTTCCAAAACTAAGAGCAATATATGATGCGGTAACTGTGGCCAACTTCATTGATTTCTTTCCTTTTTGGTTATTATCAAAGACTGTTTGTATTGTGTTGAAACATGACTCTTTGTTCCTGATACCTACAATATTTACTGTCTTCAATTTCTCCTAGATTGACTTCTTGCATGCTTTGTCTGACCTCGACAGAAACAATATTATTACACTCTCTTGAACCAGAAAGTTACTGACTTTGTGACTCATTTATCATGATTCTATGCTTAGGATTGGGGCAAGTTACATGTGTTAGAATTAGAACAGGAATGAGAATAACATATACAATCCTACTTGGTTAAGGATTGCAATGTAGTGTCTATAAATAGGGCTCAATGTAATAATGTAGATACACAATTCAATTATATTTTTCTCCTTTATTTTTCACATGGTATTGGAGCCAGGTCAATCCCCGTTTGGGCTTTGAGTCCATGCTCCATTACGGTCTTGGCGTGAATGGGGAGAGTTAGAGTGGGTTGGAGTCCCACATCGGTTAGGGAATGGACTAGTAATCTGCTTATATGGATTTGGGCAATCCTCCCCTCATGACTAACTTTTGAGGTTGAATTAGGCCCAGGTGCCATATATTTACAACATGATTCTAAATGATTTGTGTACGACATATTATATATTCTTGGAGTGTCATTAATGGAGTAATCTTTGGAGCACTTCTCACTCCTTCAATACTTACGTCATGGAGACTATCTCACTAGTTAAAAAATATGAATTTATGATGGAACCACATGACATTATCACTTAGTTTTAAGTAGAGGAAGGTGATGAAAGTGGACTTTATAGTTCCATTTGTTTCAAACTCTATGCTTGTTTATCAGTAGTAAGAATATCCATGAGCTCCACAGTGACATCCTCCATTAACTTTTCTTTTTTTCATTTTAGGAGTCCGAGTTTGAGAGTATGCAAATCCTATAGTGGTGCAGAATCATTTAGCCTTCATAAGTGCTTAGATATGATCAACCTTATAAGGCATTGTGGATAAAGTATTTATCATTTAACATTGTCTTGGAATCCTCCATGATACTTATCTTCATTCTATCATTTCATGATTCTTGGCAGTAGGTCTGTCTTCCATGAAAGCAAGAGGAACTTATAATGTCTCTCACTCTGCTCACACTGTTATCCTGATGTTCTTTTATCTTTTAGATTTTTTTTGTAAAAATGGAACTAAGTATGAATTTTGTTGGATACAGGGAAAACACAATCCACGAGCAGCTGACCCGCCCATTGATACGGCTAAGAATCCAAACTTTCTTGTTCTGATATCCGAAAACTTCATCGAGGCTCGTGCTGCTTTCAGTCGCTCTGGACTGACCAATTTGGCGTCAAATCACAGCCCTGTCAAGATGGATGTGTCTTCTGTTCTTCCAGTTTCTGGCACACAATCAATTTCTAATTCAGCTGGTTTGTTCATTTTTTTTAGAAACTTATTTTCCACCTTTATCATATACTGACTCTGTAGGAGCGTTTGCTCAGCCTGATAATACTTTATTCATTTGTGTGCTCTTTCTTTGCACTTCTGTTTTGGCAGTGTACTTTTGTGAATAGAAATATAGGAATACACACCAAAAGATAAAGTTAGTGAGAAATAGAACACGAGTAAAAGAAACCGAAGGTGTTTTGATGATTTAGCAACTCCTTGCGCTTCCTAAAGGTTCAATGTTTAGTTGCTTTAAGTAGTTGGAAGTCTATACCCTGTTATCTCCCTGAGTCTCTTTTGGATTTTGTCATCTTCCCATCCCTAGCATAGGACTTTTGAATAGAGCTAACAATATCTCTTTTGTAATCAGCACATACACAGTGCTTTAATACTAATTCTTACTTCATTAAAAAAATACAGAACATGAGAGGAAGTGTGTATAGGAATGTGTGACGTCAGTGAGGATATTTATACCTTTTTAAACTGGTCAGGCATACCGAGATTGTACATATATAACTAACTCGAGACTCGAGGGCCTGGGAAAGGCTGGTAAGTATGAATTTGAGCTAATAATTAGACTTTACAAATTTTGTGACCATATCTGCTAAAAGCATCTTTTGAATGTGACAACCAATCTCTTAGTGCTTGGTCATCTTATGGAAAACGAGATTTGAGGCGATACAGAGTGCAGCATGATTCTCGCAAACAATATCCATTTGAGTAGCTTCCCAAACTCCATCTTTTAGTAATTGTTTGATCCATGTAAGTTCATAAGTCCCAATTGTCATCAGAAAAAAGAGCAAAATCTGATTCAATTTATCGTAATCAATTAATTTACATGTTGGTTAATCGTATTCTGATAGGAAATATGATATATTCAAATAAATAATTTTACAGCAAATGATTATTCATCTACTCTATTTTCATGCAAAACATTGTACTACCATAATATAACAAGGCAAGTAAGCAGAAACTTTTTAAAAAAGTAAAATGGGTTGCCCCCGTTTGATTAGCCAGTTTCCAAGAGGGAGGTCTTATGGCAATCTCAGACATAATCAACTTAGGTCACTAAAGCTAGGTGAGATGAAAAAAGCACTCACTTCAGTAGAAGAAGCGAGGCGAGCCTGAAGCGTCGGTTATGAAAAACGAGATTAGGTGTATTTTTCTATTCTCGTTCTTCTTGTGGCTTTATCTCGCTTCTCACTTTCCAGAACACTGCTGTTGTGAAATGACAATACTTGATCTGGGACTAATCTACCCAAAACATGGAAAATACCAGAATTTACCTGGGTATGGAAGTTCTGAAAGAGATGTTGTTCCAAGCTGTTAATGCCCTCTTGATCAATGCAAGTGATAATCATTTCATCCACATGAACAAAGTGATTAGCTTTGGTTCGAACATAAATTTAAGGCCTAGTATCGATAAAATACAAAGTTATCAGCTTCGCTCGGAATCATGCTAATCGCTTGCATAAGTTTGTTGAACTTGCCAGTACATACAATGAAAAAGATTTAGACAATATAAAGATAGTTGTAATCAACATGCAAGTCCTGTATAGCCCATTTAGCTTCACTTGATGTGAGTGCTTCACTTCTCTCGTTTTTTTTTAATAACTGTGGTGTCTGAGCTAGTTTGCGTGCACCTTGACTAATTCCATGGGATAACTGCCACCTTCCACCACCATCAGGTACCAATCCACCAAGGCTAAGACAAATGGGGTGAAATAATCCTAGTGTTCTTATTTCTTCTGGATCTTTGAACGCGAGACCTCATGGTTCTCAAGCCACTTCATTGACCACTAGTGTTTTGGTCTCGCTTTTTTGCGTCTTGCTTTCAAAAACACCGCATGAGATGGACTCAGACAGGCTAGGTGACCTCAGGGATAAAAGAGGGAAGTCTGGGAGTCACCAGTAATTGAAGCTGTTTTCTTGAAGGTGGTGTTCTGGTGGCCAGAATGACCTGATGAACATCACAGAAGAAAGTGCATCATTGGAGGATGGCCAAAAAACCTCACGGGCACCGACATATGGCTTGATCTCGCTGGAATTGTCTGGTCTGTCTGGTCTGTCACCTGCACGAGTAATGCTCTTGCCGGTTGGGTTTGCTGGGACTAGGTAATCATACGCCGATGGACTAGTGGTGGTGTTGGTATTGCACTGTGCACAACACTGATGAAAAATAGTTTTGAAGAAGACAACTTTGCTGTCACCAGAAATAACTGCAGGATGACGGTTTCTCTCTCGCGGAAGTCGCTGTATGTTGCACAGTAAATTTTTCACGCTAATACCAAAGAACATGGGGAAAAACTTGTGTGACTTTAGTTTCTCACACTTCTATTCCTTTATCAACAGACTTTACAATGAGGATATTTGTACTTGTCCAGTGTGGAACACTTAACAATACTGTGAAAGTATACCTAAACACTAACAAAGTCCAAATGTGCAATAAAGGAAAACTAAGAATAATAGCCCCCTCTTTATTTTGAAGTCGGCAGGGTCAAGCTGTTCAATAGACAAAACATTTAACCCATAGAAAAATAAGTAAAACCAATATTTGAACTTTATTCATCCTGATATATGTTGGGGAATGATTTCATTCCACTGTGCAATTCGTTCTGTGTAATCTTTTTCATGTGTAATTTGTTTCAGTTTTTGGAGTTCAAGCACGATCAGTTGGATAGACAACTAATTGCTGAACTGTTCAACTCTTAATTCAGCTGTAGTGTCTACTGTCTATTGCTAAAAATTTCAATTTATCCCTCCCCTAGTCTTCCCTAATTTGGTTGAGGTGAATGTGGCCACATGGTGATGATACTTTTGGCATCTTTTACATGTATACATCTTTTTATCTTATCTGAGGATTAATTATGTTACATAATGTTGAGAACTCTCTAAAATTACAGTTTTAGTTGATAAAAAAGTTACTGGATAAATGTTTATAAGTGTATTACTGTAGTCTAATATATAGTATGCTGGGATATATAAATTACTCTGCAATTGTACTGTTGGAGGGATACTAATTCTCTTTTTATTTACCTCTCAGCAAATGTATCTGTTATCAGTCGACCACCAATTTCCGCTGGAAATATTCCTCCGGCAACTGTAAAAATTGTAAGATTCAACAACTTGTACACCTGCTCGCTACACAGATATTTCATAGATGCTATGATATTATAATATTTGTTTTCAGGAGCCCAACACTGTGACCCCCATGACTGGACCTGGATTTTCACATATTCCGTCTGTTCGTCCTGCTCTTCAACCGGTTCCAAGTTTGCAAGCTTCTTCTCCTCTTTCTGTTTCTCAGGAGATGGTATCACATACTGAGAATGTTCAGGAGATGAAACCCATAGTCAGTGGTATGACTCAGTCCTTACGTCCGGTTGCTGCTGCAGCAGCAAATGTCAAAATCTTGAACGGTGTTGCTCAGGCACACCAAGTTCTAGGCGGGGGGACTTCTATAGGACTGCAATCTATGGGTGGCACCCCTATGCTTTCAAGTATGATATCTAGTGGAATGGCATCTTCCGTCCCTGCTTCTCAAGCTGTATTATCATCTGGGCAATCAGGTGTGACAACAATGACTGGGGCTGTTCCACTAGCAGGAAGTGCACAGAATACACAAAACTCAGCTCCTTCTTCATTCACTTCAACTGCTCCCAGTATGTCTGGTCAAACGGTTCCTGCAATGAGCCAAGGTAATATACCAGGCACACAAATGATGCCAAGTGGGACAGGGATGAACCAGAATATGCTGACTGGGCTGGGTGCAACTGGTTTGCCTTCCGGAACTGGCACAATGATGCCTACTCCAGGGATGTCTCAACAAGGACAACCAGGCATGCAACCAGTTGGTGTGAACAGCACATCAGCGAACATGCCTCTATCTCAACAGCAAACATCTGGTGCATTGCCATCAGCTCAATCAAAATATGTCAAAGTTTGGGAGGTAAGACCGATTAATCAGTAGAAAGGCTGAAACTGGACTGCGGACTTTGTTCCTAATTTCCTATAGAAACTAACTCATGCCTTTAAATTTTCATCGCCCGAACAACAGATAAAATATGAATTTTACATATATGTTCTTTTAGAATGTCACAGGTTATATTTTCTTGATGTTCTCTGCTGGAACTTCTTATTTTGCTTTAAATCAATCAGTCTGTAATTCTGAAATGATTTGGCCATACAATATCTGTTGAGATTTCTATATCTGATACTTACGGAAATGGGATTTTTTTTTTGTTTTTCACCATTAAGAGGCCACTATAACATGTGATTTTCTTGACGAACTTTCTGTATCTCATTTCTGTTATGTGGTGTAACAATGTGGTCATTTCAATATAATAATTATGAGTCACAATGCCAAAAATTATTTTGTAGTAACTGTTAGGTGTTTATTGCATATATATGGTGATTATGATTTAAGGGGGAATTTAAGACGCGCCCGATAGGACCTAGTGGGTTGCCATGACTGCGATATTTGCACCATTTCTCTGGGCACCAGCTATAATGTCTCTCAGTCAGTTTCATCCTTCCATTTTGTGTTGGATTCACAATTGTTATTTTTGGGGTGTTTGAACTTTGATATCCAGTCGCCTATACTATTTGATTATTAAGATGCAGTTATAATTAAGAGGGGTATTTGAGTAATTTCCTGATAATTCTGTAAATTGGCAAAGAAATCTTTGAAGTGGATTTGGAATGAATATATGCTCTACTATAAATGGATTTTCTGGAAAATCAGCTATCTCCAATCTTAGTTGTCTTTTCACACCTAGCGGCTACCTCGTGTTTAGTTGCTGGGTTCCTTCTTTCTGATTCATTTCAGATGTCAGTCTCAGAAAATGAACCTAATGTGCCAGATGTAAATACTACAGAGATAATGAAGGAACAATATTAAGAGGTAAGATGGAGTTTGATTTTGTGGGTGGACTGGTGGGTAAGTATGAGGATGATTTAAATTTGTATATTTTATGCTGGTGCTTCCAAATTACATTTTTTAGGAACTGAAACAACAGTGTTTCCATGCAAATTGTAGTCTGTTAAAACTCTTTTAAAACAGTGTGGCAGTCGAAGTGAAGTCCTATACTGCCATCTTGTGATGCTAAGGGCTAGACCAAAATTGTTAGTTAAAACTAACCATGTGGTTTTGCATATAGCAATTGTTCTACCAGATAAGCAATGTAGTTTTTGCTTTTGTTGAATTCAGTGATATGCATATAGTTGAGAGGGGTAATAATTTTGAATTCAGCTGGCTCTTTCGCTTTTTTTTTTCCTCTAATGCTTTGTTAACTCTGGTATAGTTATCTTGGTGAGGTAAAAGATAGCTCAGGCCTTTAATGCTTCGAAGTCTTTTTCTGTGAGAACTATTTTGAGTGCACTGTTTTGAGTTTTCCTAAGGCACCTTACAGTTTGATTTGCTTGAACCATAACATAATATTAGTGAATTGCTAATGGTTGCTCTGATGTTTGGGGCTGAGGATAGAACTTATTCTGATGCATAACCAATTACTTTAACTTTTGAAAGAAACAATTGTTTTAGACTTTGCGCAGAACCAGCAAAATCATATTTGAGGTTGTAAGACCACAATTTTGAACTTATAGTTTATACTGAGGATATGTCTATACCCTTGAATAGTGTGATAATATGCAAGTTATATACTACAATGAGAAACTGGGTTGGTATTTATTCAATTTTTTGAACTGCTGTTCTTTTCAAGAACTCTGATTATTTTGCTATAATTTTTCGTCATCCCGATCGAATTCATGTTTTCCCATATCTTGTTTTCTTTTAGAAACTACCTACAAGAAGCTCTACATTTCTGTATGATGTTAATGAAGTACTCCTGATAATTTGTAATGAAAATGTTGCAGGGAAACTTATCTGGTCAGAGACAGGGGCAGCCTGTATTTATTACCAGATTGGAGGTATGCTTATAACTTGTCTTATTGGAACTTCTAGTGATTACAAGTTCTTTTGTGTTTTTTGATCTTTTTCTAATGGTTATCATTAAGTGATAGTGTCTTAAAGAAGGCAATCCAGCTTTTGTGTTGAGACATGAAGTATTGCCTACTTATCTCTTCATGTTGTAAAATGGTTTGCTGGATCTCTACTAACTGTACAAAATCTTGTGATCCAATTTCTTGTGGCAGGGGTATAGGAGTGCCTCAGCTTCTGAATCGTAAGTTTTCATTTTTATAAATGCTTGATTTAGTGATTTCACAATGTCACTTACAATAAACAATCCTACTATGTTGTTTTTTGTGTTTGAGTTATCGCACTGTTTTGTTGTTGTCTTGCTTCCTTCTGGTAGACTCGCACTGTTTCCTTGTTACTCGCTATATTTTCTTCACTGTCTCCTTCTTTGTACTTGGATTTTCTGCACTTGACCCGGGGTTTTTTCGGAAACATCCTCTCTAGCTCCTCGAGGTAGTGGTACAGTTTGCGTACATTCTACCTTCCCCTGACCCCACTTGTCGGATTTCAATGGGTCTGCTGTTATTGTTGCAACGTTCCCATTCCTTGTTGGATTGTGAAGGGACTATATATTTGTCTTCCATAAGTTGTACGGATATTTGGTAGTTGTATTTTATAGTGTAAGTTTAGCTATGCTACTGTCTTTTCCATCTTCGAATTGCAAGATCTTTTATTTTACACCTAAAGAACTCTGTTGTCATGATGCACTGATCTCTCAAATTTAGCAAGATCAGTAAATGGTAGAGACACCAAGGAATTCCTGATTTAGTCTTAGAAACTTGTTTCTTGAGGGATTCATCTTTTATAAAATTCTTTTTTTCTACAACTGAGACATTATTCTATAACCCATTTCCCTTTACAATTTTTTCTCAATCTTGTCAAGAGAAATATTCCATGATGTAACATCAAGAATCTTTGATCTCTTTGAGTGGTATTCCTTATATTAGTATTGGTTACAAGTAATATGATATTTATAATCCATCGACAGGATGGGTTTCATTTGGTTCTCTTTGGGATGATAAATGACCTACTTAACTCAGTGGTTAGAGTACTGCTTTCATACGGTGGGAGTCATTGGTTCAAATCCAATAGTATGTAAAACTAATTAGATACCAGAGTCAATGGTATCTAATAAGGTTTACAACCCACCTTTAGTGATTTTTTTTTTTTGATTTTGTATCTTTTCTATTTCATTTTTTAATTTGAATTTTTGCATCAGAATTGGATTCTGTTTGATTGTATTCACCCGACAGAATCTAAATAGGATTAGAAAGAGAACTTCTTTTTATTATTCGAACGTACCAACTAGTTATGAAATCGGATTGCTAGCCTACTTCTTCAAATTCAATCCTTCAACACCCACTTGCTCCAAACTAGCTCACATGTTGTCATAGATATTGCTTGATATTATGTTCTGGACTAGAATGAGAAACGACACTCTATTTCTTGCTTTAACAACGCACTAAAAATTGCTGGCTTCTAAAATACAATTACCAAACATAGAATGTCTATCAGAAGGTGACCCTACCAATCAACATTGGTGTATCCAATGATCTGCTTATGGATTTGAGCCTCGAGTGTCAATGGGTCGTAGCATAAGCTTAACATTCAGTTCCATAGGAGTGCCTTTGGATTTACAGCCCATCTTATCTCTTCAAGAATCTCAGAAGCATATTTTTGTTAAGAAATAGGAATAAAATACCCTTTCAGGAAGACCCAATTGATTGGGCTTTGGACTTCCATGTTGGAGGTTTCAGCTTCGAAACCCCTTGCTAGCAAAAAAAGATGTTTGCCTTCTTGGTCGAGCTCGTCTCACCGGGTTTGCCTAATGCAGGTAACTTCTCCTGCGTGGTTCGTAAGCTATTGCATAGAAGTGAGGGATTTTACCCAGTGCGCATCCAAAGGGTAGCGGTTGCGGGTTTCTCATCATTAAAAAAGGAAAACAATACCTAGAAAGTAACTTCATTCTACCCAAATTATTTTTCTGAAAGTGCCAAAAGATATGTTGTTTAGACTAGTGATACCATCACAATCATTGTCAATAATAACTATATTGTCACCATAAACCACTAAATAAATACACAAACTTGAAGTTGAATGTTGATAAAACACAACTATCAGCTTCACTACCAGTCATGCTGAATTCCTAAATAACTATGTTGCACTTACTAAATCAGGCTTGAGGAGATTGTTTCAAACCATAGAGTGACCAGTACGATCGACATACACTACCACTAGACATCCCCTCAGCAACAAAACTTAGTGGTTGCTGTATATAAACTTCATCATCAATGTCGTCATAGAGAAAAACATTCTTAATGTTCAATTCATAAATTGGACAATGGCGAACAACAATCATGGATAGAAAGAGGTGGACATATGCTATTTTAGCCACATGAGGGAAAGTACCACCACAATTAAGCCACATATCTGATGATATCCTTTGGCAAGAAGGCGGGACTTAGCTGATCAATTTGGCCGTCTGGACCAACTTTGACTACATAAACCCAACGATAGCCAACAATAGATTTCCTGAAGGATGAAGGGCAAGTTCCCAAATACCACTTGCGTGTAAAGTGGACATCTCCTCAATCACTGTGTGCAACCATACTGGATGAGAAATTGCTTCCCTGGTAGACTTAAGAATGGAAGTAAGTAGCAGACAAATAGAGTTCTTTTCAGATGTACTCTAGCGTTGGATAGGCAGGTGAGATCTAGCCAATCTTGAAGTGTTTGAAAAATAGGATTAAGCGATGACAAATTTTTGGGGTGTGCTGGCAGCATTAGTTGGATGCTTGTGATTCCTTTGATGAAAGTTGTACTTCTCCGGATTGCATTATATTGAATTGATGTGTGGAAGGAATCTAATTCTCTAGGGTAACTAATAAATTTGTGGAAGGAATCTAACTCATATTTTAGTTTTCAGCTATAATTGTTTAGTCGATGTAGAAGTTCTTAAACCAAATGTGATTCTTTGTTCGATTTGTGGTAGCTACATAGGAATGATATACAGGATGCTCTTATGTATTTGAAGCAAATGATGTCATTTCTGGAAAATTATCTTTTTGTTTTTCTGTTATGCATCTTTAGTCTTCTTTTCACTTCCATAATGCAGTGTTTTTTTAACTGTATTAACACTTGGAATTGATTTGTCCTTTGTGTTTTTGTCAGGCTTGCTGCAAATTGGCCTCCAACAATGCAAATTGTTCGCCTTATTTCCCAAGATCACATGAATAACAAGTAATTCATTTTAGATCAATTAATTTTTTGCTTGGTGGATCTTTTTCATGTTAGAAACATTTTCTTATTATTCGTCCACAGTGCAATTACTGCTTTATGAAAATTACATCTTTGTTTTGGATCAGACAATATGTTGGGAAGGCAGATTTTCTAGTTTTTCGGGCAATGAACCAGCATGGGTTCCTTAGTCAGCTGCAAGAAAAGAAGCTTGTAAGTGTTGTTACTTTTAAATATTGAGTTTTAGCAGCTAGAGACTAACCCCTTTTCATTGTAGTTCTTTTATAGGTTGCCTGCATCTTTGTTGCATCCATTTGAACTGCCCTATTCTCGTTTATGGTAGTGTTCTTTAATTAAAAGACCGATTTTCTGCAGCTAGAGCAAAACTAGATTTACATTGTAGCTCTTTTATTGGTTCACTGCATCGATCTTGCCGCAATGTCAACTGCACACATGCAAGTCGCCTAGTTTATTGTTCTTGATTATGGTGTCTTTGAAACCATTAAAATTGTGGGACCTAAGTCATTCCGAAAAGTCAAGTCATGAGGTGAAGCTTGTCCAAGACCATTGCTAAAAACATAATTACGTAAATAAAAGATTTGCTTTCTCTACAAATGCTATGAAGGGAGGACTAGCAGTTCCCAGATGATTAAGATGAGTGTCTTAGCCTTTTGTTTTTTGGTGTAAGCAAGATGTAGTGGGGGAAGTAGATAGTTTAGCGGAGTTTATAGGCCAACTGTGAATTTTTGAAATTTTTTGGATTTGAGAATGATGCACGCCCTGGGGGTTGTAAATCCCTCCTCATCAATTCCTTGATGAGCTCTTTTGTGTGAATACAAAGTTACCTATTTCAAAAAAGTAACAAATTTAAGCTTTTTAATGAGATGGTCACACTCTTTGACATGGTATCATATTTAAACCTTTTAGGAAGATATGAAAGTGTAATAAGGTCTTTAGTGGATTGTAAGATGAGAATAATAAATTCTCACCAGAAGGACATATAGTCACAGGTTGGATCTCCCCTCTAACAGTGTAGACGAAAATGTAGAAAAAACAACATTTATGAATGGCTCGAAGAAGATTGTTTAATCTTGTAGAGATGTTTTTAGAGACAAAAGTCAAGGTGCTTGTGACTGAAACTTGGATAGAAACATAATTTTCTCATGATGCAGCAAAGTATCATAATGTTGTGAGAAAACAAGAGTTTTAGAGGGAACTCAACTTCATTTTCCTCACAAGCTATTGAGGTTTAAATAGCTAAGTTTACATGTCCAAAAAAGGAAAGGAAATCAATATAAATCAATATCCAATTATAATAGGAATAAATCAAGCTACTTACTATTTATACACGATATAGAATATTCCCAGGATTCTGACACTCCTCAAGTTGGTGCATGCAAATTATATGTACCAAGCTGCTTAGATATATAACTTGTTCTAGGATTGGCTAGGGACTTGGTGAGTATATATGAAGCTGATCACTTATAGCAGGAACCTTCTGAGAGTAAGTACCTTTTCTCTAACAAAATGAGAATCAATCTGTATGTGTTTGGTCCTCTTGTGAAACACTAGATTCAATACAATGTGAACTGCAACTTCATTATTGCACACAAATTCCATCCCTTTTGTGTTTCCGATTTTCAACTCCTTCAGTAGTTGCTTGATCCATATAAGTTAATTTGTTGCCACTGCGATAGCCCGATATTATTGTGTACACTAGATATACGAACCACATTTTTTTAATTACTTTCCCAAGACACCAAATGTCCACAACTGGAACACAATATCCAAAAGTAGATAGTCTGTCAGAGGGTAAAGAGAGATGCCATCTATTTAATCACATACATTAACAACGATGTAAGGAGACACCATGCCATTCTCTTGACCAATGAAGGAGAGATCAAGTTCTCAAGTTGAAAGCTGCAGTTTTCAGTCTTATGAAGTAACAATATGATTTACTGAATAGCTATTTGAGGTAAATGTAGCTGTTTTCACTAATTGCTGTTTCAGACATTGAAATAGGTACCTTGTGGTATTAAATCACGTGGAAGTTGGCATTTGTCTGTGAATTATGTTTAGGCCTGTCATCGACTGGAGTAGATGAAACACAGTTTTTTTTCCCTTTCATGTGGATTTAAAAATGAGGCTTATTCTAGTGCATCAATGTTGAACTCAGTGTTTTGGGAAGCGAGAAGCGGAAAAAAGCGACGAGGGCTTGCTTCACAGAAGTGAGAAGCGGAAAAAAGCGACGAGGGCTTGTTTCGCAGAAGCGAGAAGCGTGATGCAAAGCGCGCTCTTTTTTTAAAAAAAGTGACATTTAGTATAAAAATAAAAAAAATATTAAATAACTAAATAGAGGTAATATAGTCTTAGATTGAAAGAAATTACATAAGATTGAAGAAATTACATAGGCAAAAATACTCATAAGTCATAACATATAAAGCAAAAAATCAAAAACGTAATTAAATCACAAAGATTCAAACTCCTATTCTTCAATAAGACTGCTAGACTGATCACAAAATTTAAAAAAAAAAAGCAAAAGAATTGAAAAGAAAAAACAGAGGAGGCAACAGTCAGTAATTAGAAACAGAGGAGGCAGCAGAGATGAAGAAAAGAAGAGAAGAAGAAAAAAAAACTAGAGTAGTCGAAACTCAGAGAGATGAAGAGATGAAATACAGACGAAGATTGTATATTTCAGGAGAAAAGAAACTCATAGAGATGAACTAATAAACGTTAGCTAAAAAAGAGATGAACAAAAAGATACCTGCGGTCGAGGTTGAAGAGAGAGGCAGCCTCAGTCGAGATTGTCAGGAGAGAAAGAAGGGAAAGTATTGTGAAAGAAGAGTCGCGAGGAGAGAAAGAAGGGAAAGAGTCGTGAAAGAAGAGTCGTGAGGAGAGAGAAGGTTATTTTCAGATTATTTTTTTAAAAAAAACCTAATTGTCGCTTTTTTTTTTTATAAAAAGCGCGCTTTATTCCGCTTTTGCCTTAGGGTCGCTTCTCGCTTCTTCATCTGAAGCGAGAACTTTTTTCAGATCGCCTCGCCTCAAGATAAAAAAGCGCACAAGGGTCGCCTCGCTTTGAAGCGCGCTTTTCTGCGCTTTTCACAACACTGGTTGAACTGTTTTGAGTTTTGACACATCAGGTAGCTGCAGATTAGAGTTTCACGTGGGTGTTTTGCATTGTCTACAGAATTTGCGAGTCTACTGCAAATGTTAGTTGAACTCAAGTGACTACACAAGTTAACTACTTTTTCCCTTCCTGTTTGGTTGATGGGTGAATTTGTTTTAGTGAACATGTGATAACCTTGCTGAAGATCTTACCAAGTACAGCAGTCTTGTTTTTGCATCATTGTGAGAAATGATGATTCAGATGACATTCCTATGGCCACTTAATCTCTTTTTTATTTGGGGAAAAAAAATATGGCATTTGTATATGTTGGTTATTCCGCATCTTTAAGCAAAACATAAAGATTTAACTGCTTAAGACATCTATCTCTGCAACTTCAAATTTATTAAAGATCCACTATGAGAACTGAATTTATTTTACAATTGAAATCTGCATCAGAACTAACATGCATCTCAACAATTTTTTTGGTGAAATTGTTTTGTTATTCTAAAGAAGACCTAGCTACACGGGTGGCTTGCATGTTCTTTTCTAACCCGTCTGTTGACAATAATGCATTGAGCAATCTCACTCCCCAGTTTCCTCTTCTTGATTTATTTATTTACTTTCTCTGTGTATATCTGGAGAGAGGCAGGCTATATTTAGTAATAGAGCTCTTAGATTTACATCAATCTTGTTCTGTTATTTGTTAATTGTTCCAGAAACAGCTTTCTCTTTCTTTAACTGGTTCAATGAACTAAGCTTGTGGTCTTCCACAAATTGTCCAGTGTGCGGTAATACAACTCCCATCGCAGACACTGCTTCTGTCTGTTTCTGATAAAGCCTGCCGCTTGATTGGAATGCTTTTTCCTGGGGTAAGAAATGTTATGTACTCTTAGCATTATTTCATTGATGATCAATTTGACAATTTTTTTAGGAATGGTTTTACTGTGCATGAGCCTTCGGTGTAATGCTATTTTTGTGTCTTCAGGATATGGTGGTGTTTAAGCCACAGATACCAAGTCAACAGCAACAACAGCAGCAACAGCAGCAGCTGCAAGCACAACATCCACAGTTGCAGCAACAGCAGCAACAGCAGCAGCAGCATCTTACGCAACTACAACAGCAACCCCTTCAACAGCTGCAACAACAGCAACAGCAGCAACCTCTCATGCAACTGCAGCAACAACAGCAGATTCCGTTGCAACAATCACAGGTTCCCCAAATGCAGCAACAACAGATTCACCAAATGCAGCAGCAGCAGCAGATCCCGCAAATGCAGCAGCAGCAGCAGATTCCGCAAATGCAGCAGCAACAGCAGCAGCAACCAATGGTTGGAACAGGGATGAACCAAACCTACATGCAAGGTCCTGCAAGGTCACAGCTAATGTCTCAGAGTCAAGGTTCATCACAAGGACTGCCAATCACACCAGGAGGCGGGTTTATGAATTGAAAATGTCATAGAACTAGACAACCATTGTACAAATGTGAGACCAGGCAGTTGATTCCAAAAGTGTAGCCATGCATTTGGTGCATATCTTAACAATGGAATTTCGAAGTAATCAAATTCATTATAGACTCTAGCATAGAAATTACTTGTGCCCTTCAAATCAGGTTGGGGCGGCTGTAAAGGCAAAATAAAAGGGGAAGAGGGAGGAATTTTCTGGGCGTGGGCGTGGGCGTGAGAACATGACTGCATATTTGGTCACCAATCTATTTTCTTTTGATCTCAACATCAGTATTCTTTTTGGTTTTTTGTTCAACTATAGTTATTCACGTCATAGGTTCAACATTTCACTAGATTTCACCATCATATATGACTTACTAAAATGTGTTTCCCTTACATTATGCTTGCTAGGACTGAGTAACTTTTGCTGTGTAGGGACGCCTTGTACCATTCTTTTCTTCTTCATTTGCTAGCGCAAATTTCTCTAAACTCGACTATTGTTCTCAAATTCATTTTAGATTTTAACTCAAGATAACTCTATAACTCAATGCAAAGATCTCAGAAACTCTTCAATTCAACCCAATTAAAGAGAGACATTCAAATTCAAGAATACATAACAAGAATATCAACTTTCAAAAACTTTTAAAACGAATTTCACAGAATTAAACATGTTTGGCGCGTGGGTGAACGGACCCAATGCTTTGAAAGACTCACTTATCTTGTAGGATCAATTCTTTGGCAAAATCTACAGTCAATCGTTCTTGGCGAATCTTGTTTTTCCTATTCTCATTTTTCTTGTGATCTTTCTCGAAAAGCCTAACTCTATTTTTCAGAGTATGAAAGAAGTGAGAATATTTTCTTAGTGTCGCGGCCTCGTAATTGTAGATATGGTGCGCTTCACACCTGCTACCAACACTCCATTGACATGACCGACACTCAAAAATAATTGCTGGCCTCAAGTGAACCATTGTCCTGGCTTACTTACTCAGATAAAGACTCTATATATATTTATAATGATCAATAACACTATACTCGCTTGAATAATAAAATACTAAGAACGCTTAAAAATTCAAACATTCAACTTGGCCAAAATGGCAACTCAAGTCTTCACATATGGAATGATAGTGTAAAGACTATTGAACTGCTAACTATCTATAAAGCCTCTAAAACAAATAGGGATATTGGAACAGAACCGCCGATCATCCTAACAAATAAAAATTATAAAGTAATGAAAAAAGAGACCTTTAGAAGCAAGGAGGCTCACCAATTGACTTTGAGTGCTGAACCTAATCAACAAAGCGTTGGATGTTAATCTTGGTTACCTATGTCTGCATCATAATATGATGTAGGCCAACTGACATCAATACATTGAATGTATGAGTATGTGAGTTGGAATTCTAAACGATACATAAGCTTGAAAAGGATTCCAAAAGAAACACTTACATCGACTCTTCTCAACTCATGAATAACTTAACTCAAAATATAGCCTTGAAACACATGCAATATATGATGATATTTATAAAACAATAAAAGCAACTTAGTTTGTTAAAGACAATGCAATAAAAAACTCAACTTTACTCATAAAATAAAGTAATATAGTTTCTATGGGATATTTTCTAACAGATTACCATCACTATGAGCCTAAGGGGTGATACAACTTATTGCCCATACTGCCACAATTGTCTTATACTTTTCCGTCATATAGAACACTTAACTTAGTGGATGCACTAGCTTATGATTCTTTACTACCCATGATGGCTACATGGTTTATCGAGACTTGAGTTGCTATGAACTCGCATCCCCATATCGATGTTCAATACTACTTCCAATAGATTCATAGCTCATGTATTTGTAAAAACAAAACTCTTTCTTTGGTTTGAGATAATTACTAAAATCTTAGCTTAAAATCTCTCTTGGAATCAGTGTTCCCTTTCTTTCTCAAATGTGAAAACATTTTAAACTTCTCGGGTATACTTAGTTTCCATATACTTCTTTTGAGAAATGAACTTCAAAACTTTTTAGAACTTAAGTCTTAAAACAAAGTAACAACGTTTGTAAAAGATTTTTGAAAACTTTATTAACTTTTCTTGACTTGCTTCTTAACTTCTAAACTTTACTCTTAACTCTCCTTGAATTGAATTATGAATTCAAGGATTATGATTTGTGATAGGAAATATGTCATGATGTTAGGAGTGTTTTAAGATAGTTAAACATGAGAAAGTCACGAAATCACTATCTTAGAAAAAGTCTGCAATGCGGATATATTTATAAATAAATGATCGCAAAACTAAATTTAGAGATAGAGGAGCCCGCGTCCAAGCCGTGACGGGGAGCTACTTTTTGCTCACTGGACCTCGTACATGTTCCTTGTCCAACTTTTTTCTTCTTCGTTTTCCAGCCCAAATTTGCCTAAACTCGACTATTATTCTCAAATTCATTTTACAACCAATACCTAGCAAATTTACTCAAGAACCTAACTCAAAACAACTCTAAAACTCAACGCAAAAATCTCAGTTACTCTTCAATTCAGCTCAATTCTAGAACATCATTCAAATTCAAGAATACATAACAAGAACATCAACTTTCAAACTATTTAAGGACAAAGTTCGCTGAATTATACATTTTTGGCACGTGGTCGAACGAACCCAATGCTATGAAAGACTCACATACCTTGTAGGATCAATTCCTTGGCGAAATCCACAACCAAGTTCGATCATTCTTGGCGAATCTTGTTTTCCTCTTCTCATTTTTCATGTGTTCTTTCTCTATAAACCCTTACTCTATTTTCAAAAGCATAAACTAACCTAACTCAGTTTTGACCCCAATTAATTACTAAAAATGAATTTAATTAATTAGGTAAAAAAAAACAAAACTACCCATCTAAAATCAGGATTGGTCAATTCCTTAATCGAATAGCCCAACTTCCAAAGGGAATAACTTACTCATACAAACTCAAAATTGCAGAAACGTAGTGGCATTAGAAAGATTGTTTCTAACATATTTCATTCCATATCTAGAAGTACCTCTAAATAATCTTGAGCTAGAAGTTATGGACATTTGAAGTTGACCAAAAACTCATTTTTCCTAACTTACAAATTTCCAGATTTTCATTATTTTCAAAAATTACTATTTTTAGTTTTTAGCTTCTTCCTAGCTATTTTAAATTGCGAAATGTTACAGGACTATTTGGAACAATAAGTCGGGATCTCCTTTTGTCCAATTCCATCGCTTTTCTACTTTAGCTTTCAACATGTTCAAGTTCTATAACTTTGTGCGATCTACCTCTGCAGAGCAGAACCATTGTGACTCCCTAATTATCCTTTCAATATCCCATTTGATTTTATCCTTCAAGACTTGCACTCTGGAAAATTAGCCTAAATCTTAGCCATTCGACGACTCGACCAATGGGTTAGGCAATCCATAAGCCTTCTTTTCTTTATTTTTTCAGTTACCTTGTTCCTTTTTGCTCATTAGTGTACATGTTTGTTCCTCAATACAAATACCTGAAACTTAAGGATTTATATTATTTATTGGCACAAAATATGAATTTGAGGATACTACATCTATTAAAATAAAAACCTAAACGATTCCAAATCATGGACTCATTAGGGATCATGTGATAGCTTACATGGTCTTATGTCGATTAGGATATATCCCAACTATAACAAGATGAATGAGGAACTAATAAATTATTGAAGAAGTATCTCGAAGTGTTCAAATTAACGAAAAACTAAGACATGCTTAAATAAGAATCTCATAGTGTTCAAAGATAACGAGATGAGTATGAACTAAGACATGCTTAAAGAAGTATCTCATAGTGTTCATGTGCAATGAATGAACTTAGACATGCTTATGGAAGCATCTCATTGTGTTCATGGACATCAAGGGATTGACTGGTGAACTAAGGTTAATACTCAAAGTTTAGTATACGAGTTCAAGTGTTTTAAAAGATGATGTTAGCTTGCATCAAAAGATGAAGAGTATGTATGACAACCTAACTTGGTTTGATTAGTATGATTCAGATTTATAGGGTCTTACTCATGCTTTGCACAAGCATGCCTTGAGGTTACTGATATACCGTGGTTTCACGGTATAATTAATACTTTTTCCTTAAGTTTAGTGTGTCCAAAAGTCTTTTTGTGCTAGATTTTATATGAGTTTCTCCTTGTTTTGCAGGAAATCTTTCCAAAGTTGAATGCGGAGATTTTGAGTGAAGAAATGCAGAAGAGACCACCTACGGAGCTGATGACAGTCCGTCGTGCTTGTGACGGTCCGTAGATGGCAGCGTAGAGAAGCTGCTGAAGGAAAATGGGGAAGTCTGACCAAGTGTGGGGTTACGTAGCTTGTGACGGTCCGTCGTGGCTACGATGGTCCGTCCTGCAGGTTCGTCATGAAGTTCAGAGAAGTGATCGCAGTACCCAGATTCCAAGAGTTGAAGTGTTTTGAAACGAAGACCCTCGAAGGACCGTTGTGCCTATGACGGTCCGTCATACTTGCCGTTGAGGGGAATGAAGAGAGCAGCAGAAGAAATTGCTTAGTATGGGACGATGGAGTCCATGACGGTCCGTCGTGACCACGACGGTCCGTCGCGAGGTCCGTCGACCAAGCCGCGTTTTGGCAGATTTCCAGAAATTAGAATCCTTGTTTAATTAGATTTTTATTTTTTATAAATAGTTCGAAAAACCTCATTTTTGAGGTTAGACTCTGCTAGATTAGACATCATATTATTAGACTCTGTGTATTAGTGTTTTGATTTAGAGATTCTCACAAGTGATTTGTGGTGATTAATCAAGCAAACTTTCGGACTTTATTCTTTCTCATTGAAGTAAGTACATGAATTCTTATTTAATATATTTGAATATTGTGTTTATGGCTATGAGTAACTAAACTCCATAACTAGGGTTGTGGGAACCATAGGCAAATAATGAGATAAACCCTAATTAAAAGAACAATTCTAGAATAGTGTCTGGCATGTATTAATAATTCTTTCATTTAGAAGTCTATTTAACGGATGGCCAACGTTAGAACTCGCCTTAATGCTACTTGTCGGACCAAGGAGGTAGATAATAGGAAAAGAATTATTAACATAGATTTAGTGCATACTATCTAATAGGCTAGTATTGATTGGTACGAGGTAATAACTTAGTCAAATATCGAATACGATGGTTAATATGAGGTAAGGATAAGGGTTATGATAGCAACACACATAGCCGGACCAAGGTGCGGAGTGAGATTTTCTAGATGCCGAACCAAGGATTTAGAAATACATAACTTATCACTTTGCATGCAAGATACTAGGAAAGAATTGTTATAGTTAGAGTTATCAAGTTATGAACCTGTGGGGAACACGTAA